TTTTTTTTTTTTTTTTTTTTTTTTTTTTTTTTTTTTTTTTTTTTAAGATCAAAATTTTGAATTTCTAGATATGCCAGTCCTAAGACATAGATGAAGGGTGAAATATAAAGTTGGTGCGTACTATGGATATGAGGAGGCAAATGTGGTTTGTCACTGATTTTTACAAGAAAACAAATTTCAATTATCGTCTTTAATACTGCGGAAGATTTTTATCGAGGAAAATCTACTCGTGCAGTTATGTATATGTTTTGTATTAAAAAATTCAAGTCATTTAATGGAGCACTAATGGCTCATTAAAATAGTTCGGAGGAAAGCAAAAGATTCTACCTTTTTTAGATGATTTTGTTTGATTCTTATGCTTTATTTTTTATATTCCTTGGTGGATGTTTTCTTATTTAATATCATTGGTGTTGTCATGTTTATTTTAGCATTTGTTTCATGTAACTACTCATTCGTAGTCCGTAATACATCTTTACTGTCAACTATTTTAAAACCATAAGGCAATTGCAAATTATATGCTTTCTAATTCATGTTGGTTTCTAGATTAGTTTACTGGTGAATAATGGTAGTTTATAACTTACAATCCTGTCATGTTTCAGATATGCATTACAACAAGCACTTCTGCTGGTTTGGAGCAAACTTTGCCCTGGATCTTTTATCATAAAGTTATTGGAGTTTCGAACTTTTTCCTTTTTGTGGAAGGAAAGGCCGCCTCGGCCAATGTATCTAAAGTCTTGGAATCAATTCCGGTGAGTCAAAAGTCATATCTTTCCTCCTAAAAATTTAAGTAGAAGATAACTTCTACGTTATTTGATAGTCTATCAGTTTGAGTCCCGTCTACTTCTGATCATCCATTCTTGTTGCATGGACTAAAACAGGGTGTGAAAGTTATATACAGAACAAGGGAATTAGAGGAACAACAAGCTAAGAGGTTGGTAATCTCCACTTGAATAATTGGATATGTATCTTAAGATTTATTTGTCATCTTTTTTGATTGAGTTGATTTATGTATTATCAGCCGGATATGGAATGAGACTTGGCTGGCGAGCTTCTTCTTCAAACCATGCAATTATGAGTTGTTTGTGAAGCAATCGCTCAACATGGAGATGGCTATTGCCATGGCAAGGGTACGGACTTCAAAATGTTATATATGACAGGCGCTCTTCATAAATTCATCTTAATAAACGTTGTAACATTTTCTTTTAAAATTTCTAGGAAGCTGGAATGGATTGGATATTCCATCTTGACACTGATGAGCTAATTCATCCAGCTGGCACGCGGGAGTATTCATTGAGACAGTTGTTGGCTGATGTCCCTGGAAATGTTGATATGGTTATCTTTCCAAACTATGTAAGGTTAACAACTTTTCTTTTGGTTTGGCATTTTTTCCTTTTCAGCTGTCCAATAGAGGCTAGTATTGGATGTTTAATGATGAACAGTCATTTTCCATGTTTATAACCTTAATCTCTGGTATATTTCTGTTTTGATCCATGGTGTTCAGTAGGTTGCTGCTCTTTATCATCTGTTGGCATCCTAATAAGTTATTTTTGCATGTTAATATGCTACATTTCTTTCAATATTAAAAGATTATTGCGATCCCACCTACAATATGCCTTTGCACTTTAACAGTCATTTGATACTTTTAAGTTCAAATTTGCTAAAATTTACCATTTCTTTTATTGCAGGAAAGCAGTGTAGAACGAGATGATATCATGGAACCTTTCAGTGAGGTATGTTATCTTCCATCACAATTTTGCCAATACTTTTGCAGTTTTGCATTATTGCTGTCAGCTTTGGTCGCCATAAAAAGAAATATTGTTGAACGCTGCTTTCATTGATTTGATTTCTAATGAACTATCCGTTGGACATATTTCACATAGCAGTAAAAATGTATAATACAAGTTTGCACATGCTAAAGGTGATGATGCTATTTTATGATCACTGGTGTGATTAGAATGGTTTATTCTCATTATTTGATTCTTAAGAGAACAGTTACTAACCCCTTATGCAAACTTGAGGTCCCATTAATCTCTCTCTTTGCTACTTGGCTGATCAAGTTTTTCGTTAAATTTATTCAATCTCATGTTTTGCTTACTACTTTACTCTCAGTCTCACTCACATGATGCACTCACCAACATAAAATTTTCTGTCAATCGACATTCTTTACCTTTTTTTCTTTTCTTTTTTTTTTTTTTTTTCCCCATAGGTCTCAATGTTTAAGAAAAACTATGACCATCTTCCAAAAGATGTATATTTTGGCAACTATAAGGAAGCAACCCGTGGAAATCCAAACTACTTTTTGACCTATGGCAATGGGAAATCAGCTGCTCGAGTTCAAGATCACCTACGCCCTAATGGCGCACACAGATGGCATAACTATATGAAGACACCTCAGTATGTGATTCTATCTCGTGGTTTATATATTTTTTAAAATGTTTATTCATTTTTATTAAGTCCCTATAAGATAAAGTTATTTTGCTAGTGGGCATGCCAGTAGATGCACATGTTTACTTTTTACACATTCGCTCTTTTCTGAAGCTTCATCATTGACCACTAATATTATTTTAGCCACTATGTCAGAATATGCACAAGTTTCTAATTCTTGTGTACTTACTTTTATTTTCTTTGTTGCTGTAAACTTACTATTAATTTTTGCAACTTTTACTAGTGAAATCAAATTGGAGGAAGCTGCTGTGTTGCATTACACATATACCAAGTTCTCTGATTTGACTTCTAGACGTGATCGGTGTGGCTGCAAGCCTACAAAGGAGGATGTTAAAAGATGCTTCATGTTGGAATTTGACAGATCTGTGAGTTTTTGTTTTGCATCATTTTTTTGCCCTTTTTTACCTGTCTTCTCATTGAGCTAGAAACGTGACCATTGTTTTCTTCTCATTGAGCTAGAAACATGACCAATTGTTTTCTTGGAAACCTCACGCTACATCATGTTGCCATTAATTTCATTTTTTTCCCTTCCGCATAGCATGGCAATTTTATACACATGACTACTTCCATGTTGTATGAATTTACAAATATGGATATGTTTCTTGTCATAGAATTGTTCTTTTAAGATCTGTTCAAATTTACTGCAATGTGATTCCATTTGCAGTGTTCAAGATTTGTGACTCACCTGTACAAATACTGTCTTAGGTGTCTATGAAGAGCTATAGATAACAAACAGCACAGAACCCATAACTTCACTATATATTTCTTGTCATCTTTCTTACAGCTATGTCTTACTGTCAGGCATTCATAATTGCTTCAACTGCAACAGAGGAGGAAATGCTTCGCTGGTAATTATATCTCATCTCATGAGAATGTTGGCAAATCTGGTGGTAAAATAAGAAATGAATAAAAATGAAGATAAAAATGGACACATATATTTTACGTGGAAAACCCTAAAGGAGACGGTGTAAAATGGGGATTACAACCTTCTCTCTAAATTACATGGAGAGAACAATAGGAGACTCTTTCATGCAAATAGGAGAAACACCTCACAAAAGAAGAGGAACTAGAGAAACTAATTTTCTCTCACTAAGGGAATACTCTTAGAAGAAGCTTTGAGAGAATGGGATGGGAGAACCTGATGAGGGGGGGCTTGGTATTTATAGGCCTCAGCCCCTCCCTTTCGCTTCTTCTTCATTCTTCAAGGCAGCCACTTGCCTTGTTTTTTAAAATTATTTCTTTCCTTTTCTTTTGTGGGCAAACTACTACACTTGGCCCTTTCCTTATTTTTCTTCCTCCTCTGTTGTTCTTCTCCTTATTTTCCTTTCTTTTGTCAATGGAGCAGCCTGCTCCAAATATATTGTCGGCCACAACAGAGAAGTCATATGAGTTTTCTCATGCTTTGCGGAATTACAACTCTTTGAGGTTCCACATGACCCGCACAAAATTATTTGACCTGTGCTAAACAAAGTTGCTGAAAGAGATGGCCTCAAACATACTAAAAGACGAGGAATTTTAATTCTTTGCTTTTTTCCCTAGAAGCTTCGCTTGATAGGAAAGAGGTTAAATTCATATTGAGCCTAGTACGACACACTATGTAGGAAAGAGGTTAAATTCATATTGAGCCTAGTACGACACATTGATGTGCATTTCTAACATGAAGCGCTGAACCAACGTTCAACTTTTCTTAATAATTTTCAATTGCAAAATTCTCTTGTGAATACTCAACTGCAACACATTATTCTTGTTGTATAATAAATTTTCACCATTGAGTAGGTAGTTTTTGTACCTCCTGACCTAAAATCATCGTTGTTTTAGGTACGGAGAACGCATTGTGTGGGCTGACAAAGAATTAAACTTGAAACTTATGAGGAAGGGCATCTTGGCTCGGATTTATGCCCCTATGGTTAGTTCAATAAAATGATTTTACTTTTTTTTTTTAGGCTTATTTATCTCGCTTTTGGTACATATATGCATGCATAGTAGTGAGATTGAAGTCCTCAAACCTGTTTGTCCCATTATGTTATAGGTGATCATTCAAGGTTTGCGAGATTCCGGTGTTTTCAGCTCTGTAATTGCGGCTGCTGAGCAAGCCAGTCTCTCGAAAGAGAAATTCTTATCCTCTGTTGAAAGTAGCAACTTTTCTCGGACGACCACATCCGATAGAGCGTTTTCGTCCAGAAGGGTTGGCAAAATAGATTCTAAAGCAACAACCGCAAGAAGGGTCTTGGAATTCACAGATGATTCTACTCACCCCTCGGCAATCCCACCTCGATCTCCTCCTGAGTTGGAAGATTCTTATATCGCTATATAGTTGACGTGCCAATTGGCAATGACCCTTTTGCCTCATTGTTTCCAGTTTCTAGTTTGAAGAATCATCTGAGAGTTGAAGTTTTTCCGCAGGAGAGAGAAGCAAGTTTGGCATCCATACCAAGGCATGCGAGTGTCCGTTTTCGTGGGGTTCTTCCCGATCATTACCCAAGCGCTGGTGTACATTTCAGGTTTAGAATATAGAGTTTTGTAGAGCTAGAGATGTAGAGCGGGGATTCTGATTTGCAGGCTTAATTAATGATTATGTTACCTTGGTGGTCTAATTTTTTTTTTTCCCCTTTTTCTGGAGAGTTTTGATTTGATTGCCTGCGACTTAGTCTGTATTCTTGGCTCCCCGTATCCGTTATATTCATTCCCCACACAGGATAAAGGGGGCACAATTCAATAAAAGTCATTTGCTTCATCATAAGCCTGAAGAAATTGGTGAGAGATTTGTGCAACTCTTTTGTTGTCTTTCCATTTTAGAAAAAAGGGAAAATGCCAGTTGGGTTAAGCCACAACATGAATAAAAAAAACTAATATGAAGCATAGAAGCCCGTGGTTCCAAGTATTAGGAAGAAGGCATAAGAGATGCAAGCATCGTATCCCATTAAAGAGGAGCAGCGTTCTGTTTTCAACGTCGGGACCTCTGGAGAAGAAGTAGATGAAACAAACATGAAAATGGCTGGTGATCCCCCACGAAGGATAAACCAAAATAGTGCAAATTTAATTACTTTTTTTTTTTATCAATATAATAAGCCACACTTATAAATTATTGGTGTGTCTTTCTTTAATTTGAAATGTAAATTACCTATTTAAAAAATATTTATAATAAATAGCATAATTATGGTATATGTTTTATTTACAAAGTAAATTTATATAGTAAACTTATCATGAATATAACTCTTAAATTAATCATGTACGGTAAACTAGTCTTTAACGTGCACTTTGCACGCGTGATTTATTTAGAATAGCAGTTATGCAAATTGTTGTTTAAAAAAAAGAGAGAAAAAAAGGACAAAAATTAATTTATTTTTATTTAATTTGGTGTAATTTTATTTTATTTTAGTGCATTTTTGTTTAATTTTATTTTTATTCAAATTATTCATAGTATTTTTATTTGAGCAGTGTCAGAATTTGGTGCAAAACTGTTTTAAAACAAACAAAATCGGCCCATAAATTAGTTCAAAGTAAATAAATAAATAAATATAACAAATAATAATAAGAAATAAAATCAAAAATAATTTTGGTCGTCGGATGATGCTTATCAACGACCTTGATGCGCGCATGAATAGTATGCGTAGAAAAGGAGAATAAAGCAATATACATGCATTAGATGGATCCCGTCACGATTCTCAATCAGTCAATTAGAACGCGACACGTTACGATTTTGTCACCCACTTTCTATTAGCGTTTAATTCGCTGCATCGTGATTCATGTGAGCTTGTTTTTTCTGTAAACACTATTCGGACATGTGGCAAACTAAAAGGATTAACTATTTACGAAACGACACGTGTATTGTATTAAAGAAAACACTTAAATTAAAACTTGACATACGGCACAAAAGAAGGTAAAATAACTCAACCAAAACTTTAGTTTTTGTGTCTAAATGAATAATAATTTGTTTTTAGATGAATAACAAGTGCACTCCTCTTTAATATATAGTTATAGATTATAGAATATTGATAGATTATTGTGATTATTATTTACCAAAACTATTTTAAAATATGTTATTTATAATATTTAAAAAAAAAATCTATTTAGCTCTTTCTTTATAAAAAAAAAAAATGGTGGGCTTTGTGTCAGTATGACGTGTTGTATTCCACCATTTCCGCGGGAGCCATGGCTTCATTGGCGGTTTTTCCCCCAACTCAGAACACAAGCCAAACTCTCTCTCTCTCTCTCTCTCTCTCTCTCTCCATAACTCTTTCTTCGCCTTAGAAAAAACGATTCAGCCATGCTAAAAACAACTCAACTTGTTGCACTTTCTCATTTCTCACTTCACCCATGCCTCTCCAGCCATGAATCAAATCCAATCCCTTCAATTAGGGTTTAAGAATCTCTTCAAAGGTACTATCTTTAAACCCCAATCACTCCCCGTTTTTCTGCCTATTCTTTCAAAGTTTTGATTTTTATGAATTCCATATATATGTATATTGAGTTCTTAATTAATTTCTTGACCTAAAACAGTGCAGTGGCTCCTGGGATTTTGAGAGTTTCGAGCTCAATGAGGTCTAAACGAAACGTTTCGAGTTCTTCAAATTCCCTGCCAACAACGTCTGAGGACAACAGAACGGGTAAAAAGTTGAAACCATTAATGGGTACAAAACCAAATCAACAGAAGGAGCCTCTTCTCAAGGTTGTACCAATGTTATGCTTGTTTTGAAACTGTAATATTTGTAGTTTTTTCTTGCCCCGTGTCTTACTTGGTAATCCTTTCATTTTTAATTCCTCATTTTTTTTTGAAATACATTTATTTTCGGGAATAACGAAAGCCTTCTATGTGTTTTTATCGAAATGCTGTATTCCACCTTATATTTTTAGGAATGCTAAGCCTATTTCGTATGTTTTACAAATTGTTAAAATTTGATATGAATTGTAAAACTTAGAGGGTAAATACAACATTTCTGAAAGCATAAGACGGAACATAGTATTTCCATAAAACACGAGGAAGGTTTTTTTTTTTTTTTTTCTTCATCATCGCTTTAGTTAACTTATAAAATATAGAAAGAAAAGAAAAGAAAAGAAAAGAAAAAGAAGTGTTGTTAAGCAGGTCCTAAAGTTTTCTTTGTACTACAAGCCTTTTGGTCAGTATGAAAGTGATTTACTACTGATTGACATGTAGGAACGTGCTGTAGAAAGTTCCCCTGTGGAGATTGAAGGTTTTAAGGATGACCCAGAAAAAATCGAGAAGATGACAGTCCAGGAACTTAGAACAACATTGAGGTAAAGTATTGCATGCCTTTTTTTTTTTTTGGTTAATTCTTTACTTTGATTGATTTTTGAATGTGTTTATTTGTTTGAGTTTTCATTCGTCTTGTATTTAAGTGTAGATTGGTATAAGCCAAACTTTACAGTTTTAAGCAATAGGAATTGGTTTCCAAGCCAAAAAAAAAAAAGAAAAGAAAAGAAAAGAAAAAGTAGGAATTGGTTCTTTCTTTGAAGTTGTAGGTCTTACATTCAATGATGTTTTACTGTCAGGAGTATTGGGGTCCCTGCTAAAGGTCGTAAACCAGAACTTGTATCCGCCTTGAAGTTGTTTGTGGACCAGAAGATAAATGGTATTCGTAAATCTTTTTACTGCTGTAAAATCCAAGTTTCATGCCATATTGCAAAATATTTTCACAGCAGCAAAAAGATACTATCATTCTAACTTTTCGGTCCAATCTAAGTTAAACTTCCTTTGCTTTGGATGCTTAGGTGAAAGTTCTCAGATAGAAGAAGAGCAAGCATTCTCCATTTCTGCTAAAAGCGTATATGAAGAAGACCAAGTTCAAAATGTCAGCACTGTCTTGGAGGCCCAAGAACTTAAGAGGAGTAAGAGAAGGTTAAAACAGTCGGGAGGTGAAGGGAGTGCTGTCGGATTCAACCTTAAAGCTGTCACAACAAAACAGAAGCTTTCCATAAAATCTGTTGGGGTTTCAGGTACCAAGACATTTCTGGAACTAGTACTACATTGAGGAGTTTAATTTGTTTATTTGTATTTTGTTGATTTCTTCGAGAAAATAATTTAATAGAATGTTTATCATGTTAGGCGGAAAGGTCTCTCAAACAGAGACTAGAACATCTTCAGAAACTATTAGTGTTAAAGCAGACTATAAATCGGGAATGCCCCTGGTGGAAACGGAACCTTGGACGGTTCTTGCACACAAGAAGCCTCAGAAACATTGGATTCCGTATAATCCTAGAACCATGAGGCCCCCTCCTCTTTCTAGTGATACAAAGTCTGTGAAGCTTATGTCTTGGAATGTAAATGGTTTGAGAGCATTACTAAAGTTAGAGGGATTCTCTGCACTTGAACTCGCCCAAAGGGAAGATTTTGATGTATTATGCTTGCAGGAGACCAAACTGCAGGCAAGTTTTTTGATTTTCTTTTTGAAAAAAGAAAAATTAAAGACTGACTTTGTCAAAGATGAAAAAAGATACCTTGCTCAATTGTATTAATCATCCTTCAGGAGCCACCAGCATTAGCCAATGACCTTAGTCTGTGCTATCTAGTGTTACCTATTTATGTATAGAGTAATATTATATATATATATTGTACGAAGTCAGAAAACTAACAAAATTAGTTTCTTTAAATGTATAATATATTCTCTTACTATTCTATTCCTAGTTACCTGTATCTCTCTTTTATATTTTGGAAACAGGAGAAGGATGTCGAAAAGATTGCTTGTTTGATAGATGGCTATCCGAATAACTTCTGGACCTGTAGTTCTGGCAAGCTTGGTTATTCTGGAACTGCAATTATTTCCCGAGTATGTTGAGTGTATTTTTATTCATGTATTTTCTTTTTCTATTGTTGTAGTTTATATTGAGTGTATTTTTATTCATGTATTTTCTTTTTCCTAAGTGTGCTTACAGTTTTGCTTGTATACCAGTGCTAGATTATGGCTGATAATATGAGCTAGACTACTATGTGGGTGGTTTAGGAATAATAACACAGAATAGTAATTGCGAAAAGTTCTGCAGTTTAAGCATTTTTTCAAGAGCAATGCAATAACTCTGCTTAAAAAAAAAAACAAAAAAAACAAAAAAGTTGAGTTATATTTGGCTAATTTTGACTGCAAATCGTCAGCCCGCATTTTTTTTTTTTGGCTTAATTACTTTTCTAATACTTTCAATCAATATTGGCATTTGCCTTGCAGATGAAACCACTTTCTGTCAGATATGGCCTTGGCATATCAGATCATGATGGCGAGGGACGGCTAGTAACAGCTGAATTTGATTCATTTTACTTAATTTGTGGATACGTTCCTAATTCTGGAGATGGCTTGAGAAGACTGGTAATTGACCGGAAGCTGTAACCACGATTGAATTATTTTTACTTTTTATAACTTTTTTTTTGTTTTTTTTTTGTTTTTTTTGAGGGAGTCCCTTTCTCGGGCTAACAACTTTGGTTTCAAATTTAGACATACAGGATTACACAATGGGATCCATCTCTCAGCAGTTACATGAAAGTGAGTACTCTCTCCTTTCCTCTCAATTTCTTGTAGATAATCCATTCTGTTTTCCAATATGTCTTGTATTGTCACATCAAACTGCTCGTTGATGATATAGCAACAAAATTGTATGTGTTGTTACGTTTAAACAGTTTGCGGTAACATAGCGTAGAGGAATTGAAAGAGACTTGGTGAGCACTTAATCCTTATGGCTTTCTTGGTTGATGTAGGAGCTTGAAAAGTCGAAGCCTGTCATTTTAACTGGTGACCTGAATTGTGCTCATCAAGAGATAGACATATATGACCCAGCAGTAAGTGATTTTCTTCTTTTTTTTTTTCCTCGTTAGCTCCTATATTATCCAGTATATAATTTAGGCTTGTGTAAGGTATCCGATCCAAAACTTGTGTATGTTTTAACAAAAGCTTAGTAAAGGAGGTTGTTTGAATGGTATTTTCTCTAGAGCATATTATTTTATTATTTTTAGTCTACAGAAACAGTTGGAAAAAAAACACACACACACACACGTGTGACATTTGAGTTTGCATTTTCAATGCCTCAGTTTTAATGATTTAGGTAGGACTGAAGGTGTTGTCCTTGATAGATATTTACTTCGATGTGTTTCTTAGATAAATCAGTTTAGTATATCAAATAAATTACATTTTGACCTTTGGATTTTCCTAGTCTTTTTTTGTCATTTTTCTTAGCTATCGTCAAAAGGGAGAAATGGGGCATATGTTTACGGTGGTAAAGCCAATACAGAGGGTGAAACCTTCCAGTCCCAGTGTCCTTTCAATGATTGTTAAATGTTAATTGAGCAGAGTTTCATGGCATGATAATCACGGGCTCATTTCTATGAGATAGTTCCCTACTTCAATCATGGACTCGTTACTATGAGAGAGTTTCTAACTGCTATTCTTCATTAAATATTTAGTTTATCTGCACCATCTTTTTAATATCTCTGCGAAATAATTAGGGAAATAGAAGAAGTGCTGGCTTTACGGATGAAGAACGGCAATCATTTGAGAAAAACTTCTTATCTAACGGATTTGTGGATACCTTTCGAAGGCAACACCCCGGTGTTGTTGGATATACTTACTGGGGTTATAGGCATGGCGCACGCAAAACTAATAAAGGTACTTCCCACTCCCAGTTGGCATTCTCAAAATCCCATTTTCACTCTTTTACGGCCCCCTAGAATTATCTTGATGTGCCTGTACATATGCATGTAATAGAGGCATTATTATGTAGTTTGTTCTGGTTGATGCGTTTACATCAGTCTTATCTGCTGAATAACCTGAAAAATGATTTTCAGATTTTTAAGAGGTTTCTCGAGTTCTTATGTCATTTGCTTGCATCTATTTGCTCTAGTTGATGTGTTTACATCAGCCTCATATGTGAGAACAACCTGATATATGAGTCACTTTCTTACCATCTTATATCCTTTTCTTTTAATTATATTTCTGACTGTGTCTGTGGTAGGGTATAATAAGAAATCTACTAGTAAGACGCAGTTCTAAACCATCATATCGTATTAGATTAAGAAAAGCATGATAGTTTAACTGAACTTGATTAAAATTTGACGATTCATGACTGTGCCTACTGATAGGGTTCTTTTTCTTACCCTACCAGAGAATTCTCCTGTGTTTTTATTCTTTTTTTTTTTTTTAATTGGGTGCTTAATTGAAACAGGGTGGCGTCTTGACTACTTCCTCGCCTCAGAATCCATAGCTGACCAGGTTCACGATTCATACATTGTCCCTGATATTCATGGCAGTGATCATTGTCCTATCGGTCTTGTACTCAACTTGTAGCTGAAAAAATCGGCTCCAAAACCGATTTTTATTGGCATTTTGTTACATGATCCAATCTGAAAGGTTTCATGTGGGAGATCTTTATTCTTCATGCAGTATTAAGAAATTTGATCCAGCAATTTTGAGTTTATATCATGTCATGCAGTAGTTGGATAACTTGGAAAAAGAATTGAACGTGTAAATAGATTCGTTGTTGTAGCTTCGTTAAGTTATTTTATTATTGTAATACTCTTAAGATTTCTATGCGTTTGTTTGTTTCTTTCTTCTTTTTCTTTTTTTTTTTTCGACCTTTTGGCACATCCCAGCCAAAAAGGCTGCATGGCAATGCTAATCATAACTTGGATGTGTCCGAAAGGAGGAAAGAAATGTCATCACAAAAGTTTTTATTCATTTATTTATTTATTTTTTCCTGTCTATACATAATTTAATTTGCGGAGTTAATTAATCTCTCACGTATTATGCAACTTACAAGTATAGTCTACTATTACTTCCGTTTGGTAAGAGGGATGGCTTGGTGGAAGGATGGATAGAATATGATGGAAGGGAAGTGAGAGAGAAAGGATGGATTTATAATTTTTCTTAATGTTATTTGGTATGATAGAAGGAAAAATTATGGTTATCTTCTAGATATGACAATAATTCCTACGGGGACGGGGATCTGCTCAGGATGGGGTGGGATGGGGACAATAATTAGAGATGAGGATGAGGACAAAATCTTATTCTCGAATTATGATAGGGTGGGGACGGCAGAAAACTCCTCGCCCCATCATCAGCCCAATATACATATATTACATATTTCATATAAATAAATATATGCAATATTAAATTTTCAAACAAATATAGTGTTTTGTGGCATTATTGCTAAGTTTGATTTGCATATGATTTGTTTTATAGAACCTATTTTGATTTTGATTCAAAATTACAGTTTATTTTTATTTTAAATTGCTATAATTTTGAAATGTATAATTATCAGATGAGGAATGGGGTGGGTATGAGGAAGGTTTCTCTAATAGAGAATTTTCGATCTCGACCCCGTCTCTTCTTAAGTCGGGATGGAGATAGGGATGGGTCCACCACTAAATAGTGGGCTGTATGGATCAAAAAATATTGTTCAACCTAGAGTTGTAAGTTTGGGCTGGGCTAAACGGTCCAGCCCGAGGCTTGCTAGTGTTGGCCCCGGCTTGAGCCGGTCCATTCTTAAAATTTTTGGGCTTAGGGCCGTGTCACGACCTGTCACGCCCCGAAGTCGGGGTTAGTGACGTGTAGGCTCGTTTAGAAGTTAAACGCGATTAGGAGAGTAATTAAACATTTATAATCATAATAATCAAAATCAAAAGGAAAATATTAGGAAATTTCCAAAAGAGCCCCACATTTCGCTAAAAATAAACGACAAGAAAGTTACGGGATCGCCCGCACTTTCTGATTACAAGAGGCTAAAACTCGAGCATCTAACATCGTTCAAGGCTTCACCCACATGATATGTAGTATTGTACATACATGAACATGTAAACAACATCACAGACATCAACCACAGTCTAGAAATCCAGAGATCAGAATTTACAAAATTTACAATTATTACACTTGTATACAGGAAGGATGATCACAATCTTCACTAAATCAGACGGTATCAGTTATCTCAGCTACTCCGCACTACTCCTAGAGTCGCCTGGGAGGGGCTTAATATTTATAAAACAATAAAAACGTGAGCGAAAGGCCTAGTAGGATGTAATTTGAAATAACTTTATAAACAAGTAAATAAATGAGTAAGCAAGTAAATAAATAAATGAGCAAGTAAATAAGATATTCAGTTCCAACACAACAGCCAGAACCTCACATCCTTTTCCTGAAAGGAAATATAACTGAAAATCTCCGTATTACAGGCATCGGCAAGTAATTTATACTATGATAAATTACTTACACAACCACAAGCACAAGCCTTATCACCCCCGGGTCTGGTTTCGGGTTTTGCCCCCAAGGATACACTCTCCATATCCTGTCTAGGCCATCAGTCAGTTTACCGATTCGTAAGATCTCTTGTCTTAAGAAATCATTCATTAAACTTTATGAAATAGCTCATTATGATCCCAATAGTTAAAATCAAGCTATGGTGTTAAAATGCTTTTCTTTCGCAAACATGCCCTTTCTTTAAAACAGTTGCAAGGCCAAAACTCTTTTGAAATCAGGCTAACAAAGAAAGAGGTAAGAAATACTACCTCGTAAGCACCAAACCTGTAACTAGCGTTGCACTATTTTGGCTTTCACTTCCTCAAAGCCCCTCAATCTGAGTCCTCCGCTAGCACTGATACAAAACAACACTTTAGGATCCAATTCTCATTCCTAAAGCAATTTCAATCTCAACTATACCCTTTGATTTCCTATTAGTGTGCCATAATTCAATTACCGGTTTCACAAACTATTTCATGTTTCAAATCATCATTCCAAGGGTTTTAATCTCAAAACATGGATTAAAGATGCTAATCCATTTACTCTAGATCCCCAAATGAAGCTAATTTGGGTTCTCTTCAAAAATCATGGTCAAAACAGGGTTTTCAAGCAAAACAGGGTCAAACCCCGTGTACACCGGTCGACCGGTGACATAACTGTGCAACACCACCGGTCGACCGGTGGTGTGCAATCCGGTCGACCGCATAGGTCGACCTGGTGAAGCGCAATCCGGTCGACCACATACGTCGATCGGTAGAAAACAGCAGGGTGAGGAAACTTGCCAAATCAGTCTGAAAACTGGCAATTTCGAGTTCCAATTTGAAATATTTCAAAGGGAATCACCTAATCCAGGTTCCAGATGACTAATCAAGTCCAAAGAATCAAAAATCCCTAATTTCTACTGGGATTTTACTCAAAATCCATGAAAATCCGTTTTGAACCAAAATAGGTTTTCTAATCCGAAAAATTTGAGATTCAAAAGAGGGTTTTTTTAAAAATCTTACCTCAACTCCTTCTCTTGACATTGAAAACTTCTTGAAATTCTTCTTTGGTTTGAAATCCGGTTGATTTGAAGCAAAAACGGGAGAGAGAGAGTGAGAGAACGAAAGAAAGAACAAGAGAGGAGAGAGAGTGTGTGAGGATGCACGGCAAAGGAAAGAAAAAGAAGAAAAAGGAGAAAGAAAAAGAAAAAAGGAAAAGACAGGTGTCACAATAATTAAAAGACAGTCCAGAAAATGTGTCGACACACACTTCTGTGGTAAAAATATAAATACTGAAAATATTTAAATTCCTTGGGAATATTTAAATTTACACGTCAGAAACATTTAATAAACAATAATTATTTAATTAAACCAGAGTAGGCACACTAATAAATCTTAATTACTTTAATTAATCTCATTTAATTCCTTAGGGTGTTACACGACCCCAAGGATAGGGCCGTGATTATTGGGGTTTAATTTGAAATTTAACTTAATTAAACTGGACTGTATCACAAAATCACAAAAATAAATACATAAATATCAATATAGTTTGCTCAGGAGACTTTCTTTTACAAATAATATTTCAAACAGTCCATAAAGTCCAAGAAAAATAGTACAACTCTCGGACAATGTCGACCAATACAGTTTACATACAGAAATACAGTATATCTTAGAATTTAAAACTGTAAATCCAAAACAAACGTACTGCTTTGAATCTTGCGCATTCAATCCATTAGCATCCACTTGTCACGCTGTAAATCTAAACCGCTAACTCTGGAGGAGGGGTTTAAAATATTGAAAACATAATAAAAGTGAGCGGAAGACCCAGTAGGATATAATTTTATAAAACATTATAAATAAAAGTACTCACGGTCCGAAGACATATACCCGGAACCGATCATACAATTTTATAAAACATTGTAAATAAAGGTATTCACGGTCCGAAAACATACACCCGGAACCGATCATCCTCATTTTTTGAAAAAGGAAATACTCACATAGTAGTGGTAAGATATCTGTAAAATGAAAATATGCGAGCCATAACACCACTGAGCAAGAAGTGGTTAAAGGTCTGTATAATGAAAATGTGCAGAGCCATAACACCACTGAGCACTTCTCTGAGCAAGAAGTGGTAAAAGGTATGTATAATGAAAATGCGTAGAGCCATAACACCACTGAGCAAGAAGTGGATCCGTACGGGTTTAGGGTTCTGCCCCCAAGGATACGATTCTCATATCCCAATCTCTGAGGCCACACCGCGTCTTATCATTTCTTAAAATATTTCATTTTAAGAAATGATACTTTTAAAAATCTCATTTCCAAAAATCATTGGAAACTCAATAACATTATTCATGCTACTCTTTTAAAATCATTTTCTTGAAACATGTTTTGCTCTAAAACATTTTCATTGGCTAAAACCATTTAAAATAAGGCTAACAAGGATGTGGATAAAAATATCCTACCTCTCAGATATCAAACGTGGGCTAGCTTTTCGTTCTCCTAGCCTCTGCTTTCCTTAAAGCTTTAACACTTGACCTCCTCCACTAGCTTTGCCACGAATTAAGCACAATCATGTTTACTTGTTTCCTATTAGTGTGCCTTGGCTCAAATCCAAGTTTCACAAACGATTTTATAATAAGTTTGGGGGTTCTTTAAAAATTAAAATCTAATTCATGGGTTTGGTTTCCTATTTAATTTCAGCTTAAAAACAACTTCTTAAAGAAATTTCGGCAGCATGCCAGTATAAATAGGAAAAATGTCAAACCTACAATTCAAGTTCAATTTCAAAATAAATTCTCCAGAAATTATCAAAACCAGTTTCCAATCAATTCAACAAGTCCAATAACTGAAAACCCCCAAATTTCATTCAATTCTAACAACAATTGTTCAAATCCAAACCCTAACTCAAAATTATTCAAATCTAACCAAAATCAAATTTTCTCAAGTTTAAAATTCAAATCAAATAGTGGGTTTCAAGGGGTTTTACCTCAAATTAGTTGATGTAGCCTTGTTTTCCTCTGCTTCTCCCATTTTCATTTTTTTTCTTTCTTCCCTGTTTCGGCAGCGAACTCCAAGAGAGAGAGAGAGAGAGAGAGAAACTCAGAGAGAGAGCAAGGGAGAGAGAGACCTAAAGAGAGAGAGGTGGCTGGAGAGAGGGAGGGAGTGGTGGCCAGTGGTGAAGGAAGAAAGAGAGAGAGGAAGTTTTCGTGGAGAAGAAAGATGAAAAAGAAAGAAAGAAAGAAAGAGAGAGGGAGTGTGGTCTGGGCAACCACGGGAAGGAAGGGAAGGAAAAAAGAAAAAGAAAAGAAAGAAAAGAAAATTAAAAGAAAATACATTA